CTTTAAAATGAGGATGTTGACCAAAAATCTTGAAGTTTGACTGTATGTGGGCCACAGTTGACTTTTGACCTAGCACAGTCGATTTTCAGGCCTTTTAGCAATTGATTGAGCAAACTTCTTTTGCAAGGCTTGAAACTTGAAATGGATGATCTTGAGACACATTAGGGCCTTGAAAGGCATCTGGGATCCTTTAGACTCAAGCATCTTGATGAAAAATGAAACCCTAATTTGAGGTAGACTGCCTTAGGAGAGAGTTTGTCTGGTCAACTCTTGAACTTCCTTGAGCAATTTGAGGACCTCACTTGCCATGTGTTGAGAAATATGGGAGGTAAAATTTTGGGGTACAACACCAACAGAGTCTCCATCTGTTGCAACTGGTTTTTTAACAGAGTCACCACCCTTAATTTATATCCTAAAATCATGGAATATAAAGGAATAACCCTAAAAGAAATTCAGAGATTCTAGGTTTGGACTCGGTTCTAGACGAGGGGAAGGTGTTAGGCACTCCTCCTTTACCATGTTCACAAGGATACTAGGTTTAGAAGCTTGATTTTATAAAATAGGGCTTTTAATTATTTATTTGGGAAAACGGTTTGAATTTAAATAGTGGAACTCGCAACGATTTTCGATCGTATGCCTACGTATCTTCCTTAGGAGGAATCAGAGTCCCATTTTCATAGTTCGCGAGGTTGTTTGTATTTTTATGGATTACGCAGATATTTATTTTTCCCCGTGCTTAGTTCGAATGTGTAGATAGCGTAGATTTTGAACTAAGCGCGAAGTTAATTAAAAACTCTTTGGTATTCCTTTTTGAAAATTCATTGTTTGATTTAATTTATTGTAAAAATAGTTTGATGTTTATTTGCGTATTTTTAGACGTATATAGCTGAAGAGTTTGATATAGCCCTCTTATCACGTGGCCAGATATTGGCCACGTGTCGCTTGCAGATATGGTTTGATGGATTGCGCCGGTTTTTATATTTTCATATAAAATATAAAATTAAATTGTATGGTAATGAATGTTTTTAAGTACAAAATTAATAGATATGATTTAATGAAAATAAATAATATATTGTAAATAATTTTTAAAATACTAAATCATTTATAACAATAAATAATACATAATATTATAATTAAAGTGTAAATATGACTATAAATGTAAATATATATAAATGCAGACAAATAAATAAATAAATACATAAATGAATTTAGAGAAAATAATAAATTGAAATAAGTTAGCAAGGAGGGTGAAAATTATATTATAGAAGTGAAATTGAGGGGTGTCAATGGGAAGGCAGGCCTGGATCGAAAAAGGCCTATGTTGCCTTTCGATCCATCGAAGGGAACCTTCGAAGGCTAAGGGTAAGGCATACGGTTGAAGCCTTCTGGTCTAAATCAGATGGGGATCCCTTGGTCATGATCTTGTGGTGTATGGCGCACGTGTGGAACCTGCAAGCATTAGATCTGCAATATAAACATTAGAAAAATAAGGTTTCAGACCTGGGTATCGAACCCAGGTCCTTCCCCATTTGCACACTTCCTTTTTACCTTCTGCACTATGGTTGGTATGCTTCGATCTGAAGCTTTGGGATGTTTTAAGCGTCGAGGAGGGCTGGTGTTCGTTTGGACGGGAGGAGCCTGCGAAGTACGTTTCGAATGTTGATCCCTTCGTGAGATGTCGAGGATTTGATCTGCTTTCTGAAGCAGCTTCTTATGCGTGGAACTTTGGTAGCCAATATCCCGTGTATAGGAAATGTGTGTATGTTCCTAATGCGTGTGTCTGCAATGTGTGTGTAGGCGATCTTTTTTTCTCTTTCTTCACGCTTGCACTTTTGGCTCTATATTTATAGAGGAGTGAGGGGGGTGAGGGTGAACCAATATGGAAGAAGACAATGCATTCATGGCTCATGAAACAGAATCCCAACACATTAAAAACTTGCCATCTTTGAGATATTGTGTCCATTTTGAACTTGGGTGAACCTGGACAGGTTTCTCATTTTGTCTTTTTTAAGCGCCCTCCATCCTTGTTCTTCGATGGATCCGAGTGGCTCCCTTCGAATGGTTCAAGGCCTCTATTGTGGCTTCTTCGATTGAGCCACCATTTTCCTTAGTCGCTTGATTCGAAAAGTTATTCAATCAGCCCAATCGAACAACTCTCGTTCCTTTCAATTCTCTTTTCTTTCAAGCAGACCAATCGAAGTATCATTTTTTATCCTAGCATGTCGAAGCTTCGATTTGCTCCCTTCGACCTCCCCTCAATTCGAACACCTCTTCATTTTGGCCTGTCGAAGCCTCGCCTTATCCCTTTCAATTTCCTTCTACTCAATTCGAACAAACGAAATATCAACTCTTCATTTTGACTGATCAAAGCTGCTTCAGTTATTCATCAATCGAAGACTTTATAGAATCCTCCTCATACATTATAAGCTCATCAATTGAAGACTTCAACAGTCTCCTAATACTTTCCTTCGAATCGCCCTCCCTTTGATCTTAATGCTTCGAATAGCCTTAATTTCAATGGTTCAAAAATGAACCAATCAAAACTTTTTACTGACTCCTCCAATCGAAGACTTCAAAAAAAGCCCTTTTCACTTTTCCTTCGCTCCATTCATCCTTCGATCTTGAACGCTTCGTTGGGCATCCTACTGCCATCGAACCCGTTTCGACCCCAAGAGTTCTTAGGCATATTTTTAGTTTTCGATATACACTTATTTCTTTCTTTCATCTAATAATACAAGAACAAATAATAAAATAAAAAAATTAATAAAGGTTTAAATAATTTAATCAGTAAAATAAATAATTATAACAAAATGATAATAATGTCATATAAAATCTTTTTTTAAATCAAATGGGCTAAGATATCTTCAAATATTGGATCACAAAATATGTCCCACATGGGCTTTATGAATTTGCAATACAACCCTTTTTTTTCATTTTTGAAATGCTCCTTAGCAAATTACATGGGCCTTTTCTGATTAAGAAAGGCCTATGATCCTTTTTACAAACTAAACCTCCTCTTGATTTTAAATACCCCACAGAAATAAAACCACATAAAGTGACCCATTTTTTTAAAAAATAAACCTAAATCCGGTGCAAGGGTAGGGCAAATTTGGGGTATGACAGTTGCCCCTATTTAATTTGAGATATGAATCTTTGAGGAATATACATGCCCTTGATCAATCAACTACTTGAGCTCCTTGATCCATCACACCTATCTTGTACAAGAAACAAACAAACAAGACAAGACCCTTGTATTTTGATGAGGTTAGTGATGCATAGATGAATGATATAGTCTTTGATGTTATGCAAATGATGTAAAAGGAAGTCAGATCCTAGGTAAAAAATTAGGGTATGACAAGGTGGATGATGGTTGTTTCCATGAGAGATTCATGTCAATAGGGTATGTTATCAAGAACCATGAGAATGAAGTTCTGCTTGCATCTTGCAACAATAACTTGATTATTGTGGAACCAAGTACTACTGAACTTCTTGCCATAAGATGAGGTTTGCAGGTAGCTCAGGATCACAAGCTAGAGAAAGTGTTTGTCTAGTCAGATGCAATATTCGTTGTGGGTTGTGTTAATGAGATTGAATTCTCAACTGATTTGGAAAATATTATAAAGAAGCCTTTATTATGTTCTTGACTATGAGTTTTAATGAAGATGCTCATAACATGGTTGGGATGGATAAGCTTGTAGGTTCTAAAACCTGGATGGATTGTATTCCAATTAATGTCTCTTCAGTTATTTGTAATGCTACTTATTTTTCTGGTTCTTAATGAAATGTCATTTTTCTATAAAAATATATAAATGAGAGAGACATCACATATTCGCTAAAAATCTTAAAAATTAGATATATGAGTCATCACTCTTTTAAAGTGTTCAACCTCAATTTTTTTAAATATTGTAAAACTTTAAATTCACAATTATATCACAACAATCATTTTCTCAAATGTGAATTCATATACTTTATTCTCCTTCAAACGAAAACTCTTTCATTTACATATATTTATATCATCATTGACACCTTTCTCATATCAAAGATATTTCAACTCACATTTGTCTCACAAAACACATTGATAGTGAAACTTCTCCTTAATGTATGTTTGGTCTTAAATTTAGAGCACTTAGGATTGATTTTGAATGGAGAGTTAATTTTGACATCTTTAATTACTTTCTAATAAAATTGATTATGCTTTTCAAAAACTAATTCAATTTTTAATTAAAATTTTAAAATTTTAAATTTAAAAGTTAATTCTTCAATGAAATATATTATTCAAGTCACTTACCACAAAATTTATCTAACTTTTTTTTTCTTCGATTTACATTAAAACATCTTTTTATGTGTCAACAATCATTTCGGTCCATAAATATAAGACGATGTCATTATCATCCGTGATTAATGACTTTGTAACGAAAATAATTATATTTAAAACGTGTGGTAGAACTAAATATCAATACACCTTTCAATATTAATTTGAATAATAAATTTGCTATCAGAGATAATCACTATACCTTAATTATCATAATTCCGATCAACATTTTCGGCCCTACAAAATATGAGCAATGAAAATATCTGGAGATCATAAAATATCTAAATTTTAGACCATAAGTTCAGAAAATATCTTTTTTATTATTTTAATTTTTTTACTAGTTTCCTTAAGAAAACAGACACAACGTCAAAGAACCACACAGAAGGGTAAAACTGACCAATAAAAAACAAAAAATCTCTACCATTCATTCGAATAAAAAATCTCACCATGATTTTCATTCACCAATCACAGGGATTCCAAACAAGTACTAAGATTTCAACTTAAAAAAGAAAAAACAACTTACAAACTAAAACCGCCACCTTAATTCTTCCTAATAGAAAAAAGGGGCACAAATTCCATTACATTCATAGCAACAACTATGACATTAACATTAATTAGCATATAAAAAACATTCGCTAATTTATGAAATGGAAGAAAAGGGCATTTCAGTAAATTCACATAGAAGATGTTATGTCGCATTCTGTTCTGTGGCTGTGGATTTAGTCCTATCCAGAATTGACCACATAACTTGAACATCTTCATATCCACATGCCATTACTTCACCTTGTAGATCCATCACACTTCTCTCTTGCTCTGCAAAAATAATTTTTTAAAATTAATTAGTGTGGAATTAAAACTAAAATTTCTTTAAAAAAAAAAAAAACTCATAACAAAAAAATTGTGATATTTTATTAATATACGAAGTTCATACCAAAGAGATATATTATTATTATTACTATTACTATTACTGTTAATAGACGAAGTGATAATAACCCTAGTGTAAATATCAACACGAGAGTTACCATATTAGGGTTTGAAATAGAAATAAACAAACCTGTTTGAGATTTCTTATGATCTCTTGTGGGTTGATCTTTAAAGAAAGTACAAGCTTTTTTGAAAGGTGTAGTGATGGTTTTCTTCCAAGAAGTCATTTTGGTTGATAAGGTGGATGAATGTATTCTCTAGGCTTTTTATATGATAGAGAGGAAGAGAGAGATATAGAGAGAGATGGGGAGAGAGAGAGAGAAGCAAGATCCGTGAGATGAGGTTAATTGGATGGAAGGAACATCACTCCTTTTTATTGACTCTCTCATCAAAACACAAGCACATGGTACATCAACTTACACGTGAAGATCTTTTCAATTGGATTGTACTATTTTTTTAATTAATTCATTATTTGGATGGACCCTTTACTTTTTTTTTTTGCTGTTCAATTAAGTTTAACTTTAGCCTTTTCATTGAAGCAAGCACCTATCAATGCTATGATATGAAGCCTTTTTTTTCTTCTTCTTTACCTTCAGATTCAATGCACTATTCTGTCATTCTGTAACTTTTATTGTTGTGTTTCTTTTTACACGTTTTTGCTAGGGGATAGACTAGATGAGTAGGTAAGATAAAATCTAAAAGTGTCCTTTTTGTGGGATTTTATTTTTATTTCTTTGGGAAAAACAATTTTGTTAATGTGATTATGTGAAGGGAGGGACTCAATGAAATCGGTCAATTTTTAACGTTGTTTAAATGATAAAATTGCATGTTAAATCGAATATAAAATAATTTAAAGTAAAATAAGAAATCATCATAATTTTTAATGAGTTAATGTGTGGTAAAATCAGTTGAAATCGAATAAAATCAAGCGAATTTATCATAAAATATTTATTTTAACTTACACTTAAAAGAGAGATGTGGTGAAGGTATATATTGAAATGTTAACGCTATTAATTGATTTTCACTTTGTGAAAATGAGAAGACTAGAAGGATGAGATGGAAGATAAGAATATCATAGTAAATCATTCATTGATTTACAATTGTACAAGATTTTGCTTTATATTTCCAGCACGAGTCACCCATCACTATCCTAGCTCAAAACAAATGAACTATCTAACTAATAGTTAGTTACACTTCTAACTTAATAACAACTTAATATATCATTAACACCCCCCCCCCCCCCCCCCCCCCAAACTAACAACTTAATAACAACTTAATATATCATTAACACCCCCCCCCCCCCCCCCCCTCTCAAACTGAAGGGTGGTGAGTTTTACAGACCACCTTGAATTTGTCACGGAGTTTTTAAAAAGTAAAGGTGTCAAGTGATTTAGTAAGAGTGTCTGCTATCTGAAGAGTTCCAGGAACATACTGAATTTGCATTTTTCCAGCCACAACATGCTCCTTGACAAAGTGAATATCAAGCTTGATGTGTTTTGTGCGCGCATGGAGGACAAAATTATGTGACAACAAAACAACACTAAGGTTATCACACAACAACATATGCGGATGAATGAGGATTCTTAGCTCTGAGAGAAGGGATTCCAACCAAAGTAACTCAGAGGTGGTATGTGCTAGAGCACGATACTTTGCTTTGTACTAGAACGTGCAACTAGAGACTGCTTCTTGGAGCTCCATGATATTAAATTCGAACCAAAGAAAATGTAGGATCAAGAAGTAGATCGTCTGTCATCTGGGTCGCTTGCCCAATATGAGTCACTATAGACTCTAAGAGAAAATCTAGAAGCAGAAATAGAAGGATACATTTGGAGACCATAGGTGACTATGCCACTTAAGTACCTTAGTGTTCTTTTGTCTACAGCCCAATGAGAATTTAGAAGACAAGCCATGAATTGCCAAGCTTTATTCACATAGAAGGCAATATCAGGGCGAGTTGAAATAACATATTGAAGAGAACCTAAAATGGACTTGTACAGTTGTGGATCTGAGAATACATATTTGCCATGTTTGCTTAACTTGCAGTTGCTTAACATGGAAGTATGAACTCCATTAGCCTGTTCCATCTTAGCTCTTCAGAGAAGATCTTTAACATACTTGGACTGAGTGAGAAGCATGGAGCCATTGTTGCAGAAATTGACTTCAATACCTAAAAAGTAGATATGTTTGCCCAGCCTTTTAGAGCAAATTCATGGTGCAACTTAGTGATTAACTGTTTAATCAGGGAAGTGCTAGAACCAATGATCATGATGTCATCAACATATACTAAGACATACACAACAACCCCAAGTTTGGAGTAAACAAATAGAGAGGCATCACATTTGGAAGCAGTGAAGCCAAAATGAAGTAAGGACTGAGTCTGTTTCTCATACGAAGCCCTTGGGGCTTGTTTGAGTCCATAGATAGCTTTGTTAAGTTTGCACACAAGTGTCTTATCAGTATTTATAAACCCAATTGGTTGAGTCATGTAGACTTCATCATGTAATATGCCATTTAAGAAGGCATTGTTGACATCTATTTGTTGTATATCCTAATTGTGACTAATGGCAAGAGTGAGGATGACCCTGATAATAGTAGTTTTGACCACAGAGGAGAAAGTTTTAGTGTAGTTAAAACTATGTTCCTGATGAAAACCCTTTGCTACAAGCTTAGCTTTGTATTTGTGTACCATCAACATTTTCTTTTATCTTAAAGACCTATTTGTAACCTACGGCTTTTCTATCCGGGGTTAAAGTGGTTAGGATTCAGGTGTTGTTGGCTTGCAAGGCATTAAACTCATCGGTCATAGCCTTAACCCACTCAGGTTTAGTCAAAGCATGCTTAACACTGGTTGGTTCAGACTCTGTATGAACAAGAAAAGCTTTAGGTTTTGACTTACCAGTTTTAGCTTTGGTTAACATAGGGTGACTATTTTTCAGGAGAGGAGTAATAGGTTTGTTAGTTCCAATGGAAGGGTATTGAGAGGACTCGGATAGAAGGATGCAAGAAGACATAGTAAATTCATTTGAAGAAAATGAGTTAGTGAGATCATGCATAACTGGATTCTCTCTATTGGAACTAGATGGTTGAGAAATGAGATTTTTATTAGTATTGATTAAAGTGGTAGTTGTGAGATGGTTAGCTTCAGACTTGTCCTTTAGACTGCTGATATCATTAGAGTCAGTCTCAAAACCTAAAGGTGTTGCATTATTATAGGAGCTTTCCTCATTAGAGATGTTACCTTTAGGAGAATAGGGTACAAAGTCACCAGATTTATTAGTTGAGGGACTAGACATTTCTTGAGGAAAACTGCACCTAGAAGGACTGACAGGACTTTGTCTTGCAGGAGATTGATCAAATGTGACAAACCTATGACCTGAGATAGGCTGAATAGATGTATGCTTAGAACCAGGGGACTTAGTTTAGTCACCAGGATTAGAGTCCTGATGTTTAGAGGGTGGAAATGAACTTGTAGTGTTGGGAACCTGAATATTGTCAAATTGAGGTGAGATATTGGAGATTCAGAGGACAGGAGGTTTATTTATGATATGTCCTGAAGGAATGGCTCCAGGGCTACACATAAGTTGGAGCTTTTGGTTTCAGCGGGTACATTTTTAGAAGGAAAAAACTTAGGAAAGGGAAACATTTGCTCATTGAATTTAACATCCTTAGATACATACACTTTACCCTCTTTACTAATACACATGAACCCTTTATGTTGACGAGAGGGTCCTAAGTAAATACACTCATGACTTCTTAGTTGGAGTTTATGTTTATTATAGGGCCTAAGAAGAGGGAAGCAGGGACACCCAAAAACTTTTATAATGGAATAGTCAGGATCTTTGCTATGTAAGGCATGAAAGTGTGAATTAGCATTAGATAAGGTGGAGGAGGGTAATCTATTAATAATGTGGATAGTAGTAGAGAATCTATAGTCCCAGTATGACATAGGTAGGGAAGCATGTGCTAACATTATAAGACCCACTTCAACAATTTGTCTGTGTTTTCTCTCCACAATCCCATTTTGATTGGAAGTATGACAAGTAAGCCTATGTGTGATCCCTAACTAAGTTAGATACTTGGTAAAGGGTCAAAATTCTCCTCCAAAGTTAGACTGAATGGATTTAATGGTGAGATTGTATTGTGTCTGAACAAAGGCATAAAAAATTTTAAAGGCTTGCATAGCTTCAGACTTCTATTTTAACAGATATAACCAGGTATATCTAGTATGGCCATCAACAAATGCTATGTAATATATGTATCCTGAGCTGGACTCTTTAGGATAAGGTTCCCAAAGGTCAGTGTAAATCATGTCAAATGTTTTAAAGTAGACTGTATGAGTAAGAGGGGAAAATAATTTGTGTGCCTTACCAAGATTGCATGAAGTACAAAAAGAATGTCTACTTTTATTAACAGAAGAAATGTTACACAATTTTAGTATAGTGGCAACATAATTAAAGTTTGCAGGGCCAAGCTTATGATGCCGCAAAGTACTAGTGTTGTACGTATCTACAATAGTAGTATTAGAATAAGCAACAACATAAATGTAAAACTATTAGGAATACCCAAGTTATTCTTAGAGTTAGTAGACCTTTTTGGTTCCAAGGATAACTGAGGGAAGCAATATAATTCACTGGAATCTAGGACTCCTTCAGCAATGACTTTCCTAGAAGCATGTGATTTAATATAGCACTTGTCAGGTAAAAACTCAAAAATCACACAGTTATCACTAGAAAATTTTGAAACAGACAACAAATTTCTAGTTATGGAGGGAACATGTAGAATGTTAGCAAGAGTTAACTTATGTGAAGGATTGAGTTTAGAGTGAAATTGTGTGGAACCTATAGACTCTATGGCAAGAGTTTGGCCATTGCCCACATACACTTTGTTGTGTCCTACATAGGGTTTTCTATTTTGTAAAATAAAGGCATGGGGTGTTAAGTGGTGGGAAACATCTGAATCAGCAAACCATGACTGATATTTGAGTTCAGATGACAAGTTGTACTCCTAAGTGTAAGTAGAGGGCCTTCTTGTGGTAGTCATCATTGCAACAGTTTGTTAATTGTATGAATTTTCAACACCAGTTTCCTGCTTGTGATTATTGGTGTTGTCAGACCAGTTGAGGCATTGCTCAATTCTGTAGGCATGAACGTTTCATTAAATCTATGCCAGCGTGAAGTGACTTCATGGCCATATTTGCCACATAGTTGGCAAGTTGGTTGATTTTCAA